AAAAAAAAGCCATATTTTAAATCAATTAATTTATAATATTAATGCTCTGTAAATTTACATTGAGCACTATTTTGTAAAAAAAAAAATCTATAAGAACACCGGATTATATATCTTGCTTTTCTTTCTTTTATTTATACACACACACACACACACACACACACACATATATATATATATATATATATATATATTTGGCTTAGTGTCACGTCTAAGATAATCTTAATAAGTATATATATATATATATATATATATATATATATATATATATATATATGTGTGTGTGTGTGTGTGTGTGTGTGTGTGTGTGTGTGTGTGTGTGTATGTGTTTGCATATTACTCCTGCACAATCATACCCGCAAAAAATCGTGTATATATATATATATATATATATATATATGTATGTATATGCACATATACATAGACGCATGAATATATATATATATATATATATATATATATATATATATATATATATATATATATATATACACAAATACATATTATATATACATATATAAAGAAAGAAATAAACTATCAAGAAGAAACAAGATAAAGAGAAAATACTATGACCAAGAAGAAGAAGAAGAAGAAAGAAAGAAAGAAAGAAAGAAAGAAAGAAAGAAAGAAAGAAAGAAAAAGAAATAAAAAGAAGAAAGTAGAAATCTAGAAGAAGGAGGAGGAGGGGGGAGGAGGAATAAAAGAACACGAAGCAGATTATGAAAGAAGGAGAAAAAAAAAGACTATCGAAAACTATGCCTAGAGGTGTAACTAGCATATCAGGAGCCATCCTTGAAATTAAAAAATGATAAAATAAGAAAACCGATAAAAACTAGAAATGCATAAAATGCTGTCCGTGATTTTTTCAAATAAAACCGGCTTCGTTTCACAGCACGTCCGTTTTTATTCCCAGCACAAAACTTGTTGGGTGTCTGATGAATTGGCACGTAGCCGCTTTTTCTTTGTTGATCATGTCCTGCTCTTTCAAGATACTTCGAAAACGACCGGCTTCACCTGTAAAACCAACACTCTCACGATTCTGACCGCAATTAGAATTTAGCTATCGTTGTAAATCGCTAAAAATACGTTAAATAATAATAATAATAATAATAATAATATCTATTATCATTCACACGTACTAAAATATTGTGTTAGAACAAAATACAGATTCTGTGAAAAATATCCAGAAACCATTGATCATCTTGTATCCGGTTGCACGGTATTGGCACCCACAGAATATGAAACTCGGCACGAAAGATTGGGCAACTATCTGCACTGGAAAATCTGCAACTTCTACGGGAAGGAAACTGAAAGAAATTGGTATGAACACCACCTCGACCCGTCATTTCTTACCTTAGGTCTCTGGTTGGGACCCGCAAGGAAATGTGTATACCACAAATATCCAAGGAAATAATAATAATATATGGCCAACACTTATACCCCGTTACAGAGATAGGACCTGTAAGAATTTTATATGATTTTACAATTCACTCAGACAAAAACAAGCAAATAACCGGTGTCAAAATGATAAAAAAAAAATAGCATTAAAAAATTAAAGATAACAATTTTACCTACCATAGTCTTACACGGGCCCCATAAAAAAAAAACAAAAAAAAAAACAGACGGATAGAAGATGTGTGAATGTGCGTGCATACGTATACATGTGTGCGCGATAAAAAATTATTCCGCAAATAAAATAGACGCACGGTCTGTGCATTGACACTGCGATTTGCGAAAGAAGTTCGCTATACAATCCAACATTGAATACAGCGACCAACTGTCTATGTATGCCAGCAACGACACATGGATACGCATATACGCCCAGTCCCACGTTGTTCATATATGAGCTGCAATGCGTGAACGTGCGTCTATGTATGTCTGCGTACGTATGAGTGTCGCCTCGATATACGCAACCATAAATAAATCCAAAATTTAAAAATTAATCAGTTTGACGATCGCAGAGAGCGTGAAATCCACGGTCACAAACTCATATCAATCCAATATGTTAGCGCTATAACTGATACTGGGCGCTTTCCATTAAATGCCGCGCATATATAATTTATAAATAATATATATAAAATATGCATATATATATATATATATATATATATATATATCAAGGAGAGAGACACAGACCTAACAGATAGCTATAAATAAGGAGAGAGAGAGAGAGAGAGAGAGAGACAAAGTATATTAATAAGAAAAAACGTCATTCGATCCGACTGAAAGATGCTCCTTGTATATGGTAAAAGTACACTATTTTTGGCGCGATCTGTGTCTTGTAAGGGCAGGGGACAGCAGGAGGTGTCAGGTACTTACAAAAGCGACAGAGGGAAGCGTCCATTTTTTCCAGGAATCTTCAGCGATGAATCATCTGTACTAGCTGCACCTGAGATCAGTCATCTTTCGTTAGGGATAAATACTGGCTTAAAATTTGTATTACATATTTGTACATATACATGGGGAACCAACGTATTTGCTTGTTTTTTTAATCGGTATCACACCATGCGAAGCAGTAAAACCACTAAGACACACTTGTTACAGCTCAACTGTTAATTGGTCAGGTTTCGGCGCCAAGTTTAGTACTGCGCTCAAATTTATAAAGCACGTCCTTCTTTATTCCCAGCACAAAACTTGTTAGTTGTCTGATGAATTGGCACGTAGCCTCTTTTTCTTTGTTGATCACGTCCTGCTCTTTCAAGATACTTCGAAAACGACCGGCTTCACCTGTAAAACCAACACTCTCATGGCGAAGAGCTCATTCGAATAATTACCATGGAAATATTTAAAGACATAGAAAGGAAACCTTATTGTGGTGACTGAAGACGAACCGCGAGATCAGGACCAATATAATTGTTGATTTTTTGGGGGGAGGATTTTATCAAGGATCTTATTGTAAATATCAAGGGAACCGGACAATATTATAGCGGCAATATTCTAGGCATGGAAAAGTCGTAGAGTTATAGATATGTAAGATAGATTCTGGAGAGAAAAATTGTCTTGCATGACACAGTAAACTAACTTTCTTATCAGCTGATCTAGAAATGGAATCAATATAGATTTTTCCAGTTCATATCCGCTGAAAACATTAGCCAGAGAAGGCGTAGCGAGTCACTTACCTGGAGGTTAGCATCAGCCTTGTTGATGGAAGACAGAGAGGAAATCTCTCAGACGATTAATGGAGAGAAGTTTGGTTTTGGAGACGTTAAAATTTAAAAAAGAAATACCGAATACATGCTGTGCTGTTAATTTGTTTTCTACGGTATTATAGAAAACTTTAGTAGGTAATTATGTATTTACATATATTATTTTACAAGTGGGTTACTCGAGTAAAGTATAAAATATTTCAGTGATGAGTGGAGGATAGGGAGGCGTTGATGAACAAAGGGAATCAAATGTCGAGTTGTAGCCAAAAACTGATCCCTTGTATGCTTTTCAAACAAGTGCGCCGGTAATTACTTTTCTGTCTCTGAGTTGTCTGCCGAAGTGAGTTGCAAGACGATTGTTTAGGGCACGTAGCAGTCTCCAGCAGGTGTTGAGCATCAAAGAAACCTGGTTTACACCGACACCGACGCTGCCCCAGCAAGAAAATTTCCCAGACCCCACACCAGCCGCAATCAAAATCACTCGAAACAATAACAAAGCCGAACGCCCATTTTCTTAAACTTGGCTATTTTCTTAAACTCGAATAAGTTGTCCGAAACGTATTGTGTAAAAGAGATAATATTTTATAACGTAAATGACATTTTCCTAACACACATACACAAATATACAGACACACACATATATATATATGTATATGAAACAACTATAACCTGTTCCTTATATATATATATATATATATATATATATATATATATATATATATATATATATATCCTCGACTCTCCCGTCGAATTCGACGTATGAGGGTCAAGCAGACCAGTTCTCTGGAAACCGACAGCCCGACAACAGCACATGAGGTGAAGGTTTCGTGCAGGATCATTCACACTTTTTGAAGAGCCGAATAGAGAGACCTGTGGAGGGCTTTTCATTGGGCCTTCATCACAACAGATAGTGAGGAGTAGATGTGATAGGCAGCAATAAACTGCACAAGAACTGAAAAGTGATCGATGCATTTAAATATTGAATTAATATTTAAGCTTACCTTTGAAAAGTTCAACGATAATTCTTCTTTCGCCACCTAATTTAAAGACAATTTGGTGTACATATGTTCTTACTTTCCGTACAAAAAGTTATTTTTATTTCATAGGTGATTTTCGCAGGATTTCGCAATTAAATTCGATTATTCCCAAATTTATTTCAATGTTATAAAAATTGATATCGTACAAAAAAAGTTAAAGATAAATTGATATCGTACAAAATAAAGTTAAAGATAATAAAATCACCGCAAACAATCGAAGTGATGAAAACTTGGGAGTCCAAAATTTCTGGATCGCGTGCCTGTATCCGACCCAGGATGTTTTTAATTTACTCACGTAGTCGGCCTGATTCCAAAATGGTATGATATATTGGCCTATGACCTCTAGGAGTAAAGTTGAAAACACGGACAATTTTATTTTGAAACACTCTAAATAGAGAACATTAATTCTTTCATTTGAAATAAGTTACGGAAAGTTAGAGAGTTGTGCCCCTTTAAGTTGAAAAACTGACACAGTGACACACTGTCATTCGCATTTACTATATGTATAAAGGAAAAATACAATAGGAAAACTGTATGTAGTTTTAGCTGACATGTTTCATCCAATGTGGAATTTTTCAAAGCATAAAACGAAATTAATTTATTTGAACAAAATATCGTTAAATAAAAACAAAATGTTGCTATTAGGTGGGTGCAAAAAATAATGTCGTTTTTGACGTTCAACTTGAAAAAAAGAAAACGGCATTATTTTTGCACCAGCCTAATAGTTACTTAAAGAATTTAGAAACTCATGAATATTAATTAGGCCAAATGTAAAATTGTCATTTACTTTTTCATAATTTTTCAGTTTTTCTTTCTTTTCATGTTCTTTCTTTTCTTTGTCTATCACATTTTTAATATATTTTCACCTTATCTTCCTTTGTTTCTTTATCCATTTTTATCTTTATTTATCTATCATATCACCATTATCTTCCGATTAAATTTCATGCTTCTACGTAATTAAATTTCCTTCGCATTCAAGGGATGTTTCTTACCTTTCTGACTATATCAACTTTTTATTATTTAGTTCTTTTTTCGTTTTCTTTCATTCTTTCGTGGTCTTATTCCTTTCTTTCTTTCTTTCTTTCTTTCTTTCTTTTGCACCTTTCTTTCTTTCTTTTGCACCTTTCTTTCTTTTTCTATATTTTAAAAAATTGTTTGATTTTTCCTTGTTTCCTTTTCTTTTATTTTTCCTCCATTATCTTTCATTCCTTATTATGTTTCTTTTTCTTTCACTTTTCGTCACATTATTCATCCTTAAATAACTATTTTATTTTATTTTCTATTTCAATTTTCTTTTTCGTTTTTGTTGTTTCTTTCTTTCTTAATATCAATACTTTCCTTATTCTTTTTTTTTTCATCTCTTGTAATTATTGCTTGTTTTCACTTCCTTCTTTTCTTTACATTTCTTATTTTTCCTACAATTTTTCTTTCCTTCTATTTTTCTTTCTGTTTTATTTCCTTCAATTTTTTCTATTTTATTTCCTTCTATTTTTCATTTTATTTTCGTTTCTTCTAATTTTCTTTCTATTTTATCTCTTTCTATTTTTGTTTCTATCTTCTTTCCTTCTATTTTCTTTCTATTTTTCATTCTATTTTCTTTCCTTCAGATTTACTTTCTATTTTCTTTTCTTCTGTTTTTCTTTCTATTTTTTCTTTTCTTTTCTTCCGTTTTTCTTTCTATTTTATTTCTTTCTATCTTTATTTTTTCTTCTGTTTTTTTTTCTATTTTCTTTCCTTCTATTTTTCTTTTTCTTTTCTTCTGTTTTTCAATCTATTTTCTTTCCTTCTGTTTTTCTTTCTATTTTCTTTCCTTCTGTTTTTCTTTCTATTTTCTTTCTTTCTATTTTTCAATCTTTTTTCTTTCTTTCTTTCTATTTTCTTTCCTTCTATTTTTCTTTCTATTTTCTTTCCTTCTATTTTTCTTTCTATTTTCTTTCCTTCTATTTTTCTTTCTATTTTCATTCCTTCAATCTTTTTTCTTTCTTTCTTTTTCTTTCTATTTTCTTTCCTTCTATTTTTCTTTCTATTTTCTTACCTTCTATTTTTCTTTCTATTTTCCTTCCTTCTATTATTCAATCTATTTCTTTCTTTCTTTTCTTTCTATTTTCTTTCCTTCTAGTTTCTTTCTATTTTCTTTCTTTCTGCTTTCTTTTCTATTTTCTTTCTTCCTATTTTTCTTTCTATTATCTTTCCTTATATTTTTCCAACTAATGCCACATGTTTTTTTCATTTTGTAAATTTCAACAATATCTGAATATTCATTTTCTTCTTTTAATTTCTATCAGCTTTTCATTCTTTTTCATTCTGTCATTCTTTTTATTTTATTTTTTTCATTCCGTAATTCTTTATTTCTTTCCTTTTTATTAAATATTTTTTCTAAATTTTCTGTAGCCACTTTCTTCCTTTTTTTTTCTTCTTCTGTTATTATGTAAATAACAAGTCTAGCTGTATTTATATTCAACTTGTATATCAACCCGGGGTCTATTTTTCTTTCGCAGGTGTAAATGGATACCAAATGTGTTTTAGTATCAGAGAAATGTCAAGTTTTCAAGCAATCTGTTTCACGCTATCGAGTCCAAGCCTGACAATTTAATCCTGGTAAATTCCACGTACCTACTTGCTGCAATAAGTTTCTGCCATGATGGTTGGAATTGGTAATGTAGGAACACTATTTCCAAATATATCATTTCATTAGAATATCCACAGAAATAAAAAAAAATATTCTAATAAGATAAGCTACTGTTAATATACTGCTGAATATCACAGATTTGCTTGTCACTTGCCTGACCCTAATCTATCAGGCAATTTCTCTAGGGTCTGATGCACTGTGCAACTCTGTTTATGAGCAAGAGGAGTAGAGTAGCATCATGACTGGGCATCGAAAGTTTGTTCTATTTTAATTCGGCTTCGGATTTCGTAACATATTTTCCGTCATCTGTAAAAACCCTTCCTGGATATTACTTGTTTTACTTTGACGGCTCAAATTCGTACATTGCATCCGATTCTGTTTCGCTTGGTGACATCTATACATTACCTTCTTAAATTTGATAGTTAGTCTTTTCTTCTCGCTTTTCTGTAATATCTTGTTTAGGATTTCCGGAAGTATTCCTTCTGTGTCTGTCATCATCTGTTTCAACTTCATATCTTATATTGTTAGGCTGTCCTGGGTATGATGATAAACTATATTCGACAGCAAGTTTTCTGATCAGGAGGTTTTGTGAAGCGTGGAACCATCTCTTAATTGCTGGTGTTCTCATCTCTACATTGACGCGGGGTGGTAGCACCTGTTAGGGTCCTAGCTATTGGCAAATAGTTAACCTCCAAACTGGGGTCAAAATGTCTGAAATAGGTTTTATTACAAGCAATACATTTTTGTAAAAAATTATTATCAGCAATGACATTTTTCAGGATAAATTATTACCATCAATACTTTTTTTGAAAAAAAAAACAAACAAAAACATCACCGGCAATACATTTAAAAAAAATACCAACAGTACATTTTTGGAAAAAAAATATCAATACATTTTTGAAAAAAAATATTACCAGCAATACATTTTGAAAAATAAAAATATTACCAGTAATAAAAATCTTGTCGGTATTAAATAACCCATTGAGGTATTGATGTACCGCAAAACAAACCAAACCAAACTAAACCAATATATTTTTAGAATTATGTCTGCCAATAATAAATCCTGGTAGGACACCTAGTTTGCTAATGACCGCCTCGTCCCAGCAGTTGAATAAATTCGATGTGAAGACACGTCTTTGTTATATATTTTATTTTTTTAATTTCGCACATGTGTGTTTGTTTTTTTTTATTTTGTCGACTGCACACTATACTAGGGTCAGGTTGGTACCATCTATCAGAATAACAGCACCATGACGCAAATTATTCCGCTAGAAATTTGGAAGCAGCATGCTGTGCCGCTTGGCATTCACACCGGAAGCTCCAATACGAATATTTCAGAGTGTTTCGGTGTTAATCTCAGGACAGTGCAGAAGATTCGAAAAGAGTTGGATGAGTCTAATGGTGATTACGAAGGTGTTTGAAGAGAGGTCTGCATCAAGAGACTTGAGTGCTGACCTGGCGATTTTCCTGAATAATGTACCCTTTAGCATTTCAAGATTATTTCGCGTAACTTTGGTAAATATATCTGTTAAAATGAGATGTCAATATTATTTTTATTTTGTGTAATTTAGACAATTTATCCATCGCACCCTGTACATGATGCTGGGCACACGTAGATTATTACTAAATCATTTTTCCATCATTTACTTCAAACGGAAATTACTGAACAATTTAGATATATTATGATGTAATGTTATATAATCCAGTAGTTTTAATACGATCTTCAATAAAAAATGCAAATTTAAAACATTCTCTCTTATAATTTGTCCCCAGCAATAATATGGTGTGATATACACTATTTTCTTGTTTTTATTAATTAAGCTGTAACAAATAATTTAACAAATCTTATTCACTGAGTAGCCTTTTTTTGTAATATTTTATAATATTTTTACACAGTTTTCCTTTTCAAATACAGTAACAAAATTGCATATTTTGTTTGTGGTGATTCCTAATTAGAATGTAGATATCAAATTTGGATTTTTTCTTTAAATAGTAAAATTGATTTATAGTGTATATATTTGACTCGAGTGAAGACCAAAGCTATGTCTATCTTTTTGACTCTCACATAAACCCAGCCCTTGTCTATATCTTTTCATCTCGTGTAAACAAAACTTCTGTCTACCTGTTTGACTGTCGCAAAAAAAAAAACCCTGGCTGCCTTTTTGACAGTCGCTTAAAACAAACCCGTCTATTTTTTTTACTCTTGTCTAAAGCCCTCTATCACTACGCATCTACTATACAAAATAATCTGTCTGTAAATAGTCTTGAAAATTTAATATGCCCTAAATAATGAGCTAAACCAAACCAGCAATAAGTGTAGAAAAATTTCAAAACCCAATTTGGCTTTTAAATTTTTTAATATATCTTCATTTTCTTACTGTATCTGATGCAAATATTGGAGTCACCATATTTAATCATACACGATACTGTATTAATTTTGTTTTTACTATTGAATATTCATTTGAAATATAAATATTGAGTGTTTTAAATTCATTCACTCGAGACAGTAACAGCTCATCAGAAGAATTTCCATGGAAATATTTGTAGAAAAGAGAGAGGGAAGCCACGTTACGTTAATGAGAAAGTGACTGAAGTCGAGATTGCAAGCATAAATTACATTACAGAGACGTCTTTGGATTTTGTCAAGAATCTCGAGGTATACAGCAGGAGAACCGGACCAGATATGCCAACTGTACTCAATGTACAAAATGGATTCTTACAAGAAAATTGTCTGGCATGATCTTTCCTAGCAGTAGAATCACAGTTGTTAAACTTGTTCAGCACTGAAACGGTGAGACCTAGTCGCCACAAAAAAACAAAACAAAAAACAAAAAAAAAAAACAGTAAATTTAATACAGATCAATTAATGTACAAGATGAATTCTGACGCAAATAATTGTCTGACACGATACTGTGAAGCAACTCTCCTAGCAGTAGACCAAGTAATTGATTCAATATAATTATTCCACTTATTTGAAAGCAAATTTTTTAATCTCCTCTTTTGGAAATTAATTCAATTTCAGACACGAAAATGATACCAATCTTAGAAATGAAAGCTTAAACTCACAATTGTTAAACTTTTTCAGCACTAAAACGGTAAGACAGAGTGCATTTAAATCTTTGAAGGTTGTAGATGGCAGTGACGCAAGAAACTGGAAGAATTTTTTTTATATTGCACAGGCGAGAAGTGCTAGTAAATAAACAATTAAAATAAAAGTGACGGTTGCACCTAGCTTGTCTAAAAGTAACAGTCGCCAGGCTAGTAATGCGCTTAAATACATGCAACCGAGGTACCAAGGAGGAAAGTTCATCAGAACAATTACCATGAAAATATTTGTGGAAAAGACAGAGTGAAGCCACGACATGGCGTTGAGTTAAGTCGAGATGCCAGGTGAGGATTGATTATATTAGAGACACTTCTTTAAATTTTGTCCAGAATATCGAGATGTACAGCAGGAACCCTAAACCAATTGCAATAATATTCAATGCGCGGATGAATGGTAGATTTATAAATATACAAGATGAATTCAGACGGGAAAAATTATCAGGTACGACGCAGTGAATCAACTTTCCTAGCAGTAGATCAAGCAATTGATTCAATATAATCATCCCACTTATTTAAAAGCAAATGTTTTAATCTCTTTTTTGGCAATTAAGTCAATTTTCAGATATGAAACTGACACTAAGCATGGAAATGAAAACTTCCAGTGATTAAACTAGCTACGCGAAGAAATAATTGAGTTCGTACTGAATATCTGTCGGATTAATAAATAAAAACCCATCCCTTTTCTTTATAAATTGGCTTGTTTACGTCAGGATCAGAAACTAAGCTGATACGAAAGTTTCAAGAGTCTGACAAAAATTTGCGTTTATAAGGCACGATTTAAATCTGTTTGACTGTCAAAGTACTCCGTAGCAGAAACGGTCTAATTTACGTCGGATCACACGAAAGTTTCTCGTGTCAATGCCAGAAGATGGGGGGGATAAATTTCAAATCATAATAATAATGACTCCGGTTTAGACAGACCACGTAACCATCGTTAGTTACATAGGGAAATGTTAATAACTGAAACCAAACGTTTTATTCATTTTCCGAAGGGCAATCCTTGCTAACAAGAAATTACTAAGCAGACATACTGCCTAATTGGGCTGAGCCGAAATACAGATTCTGTGATAAATATCCAGAAACAATTGACCATCATGTATCAGGTTTCACGTTGTTAACACCCACAGAATATAAAACTCGGCATGATCGACTGGGTCAATATCTGCACTGGAAAATATATCATTTTTACGGGAGGGAAACAGCAATAGTCTGGCACGAACGTCACCCAGACCAGGTAACAGAAATTAGAGCTCTAACAATTTTATGGGACTTTACAATACACAGAGACAGAACAATCAAAGGTAATCACCCAAACATTCGAGATCAAAGAACACAAGAACAGAATGGGCTTTTTTTTAATTGACATGGCAGTTCCTGCAGACTGTAATGTGTTCTTGAAGGAGTCTTCGGATTGATTGTAAAAAGTTCCGATAGACACATTGAAGAGAAATTATGGTAGCCCATGCCTACATGTCTACACCTTATGAAGGGCTTTATCTATGTGTGACCCTAGTATTTTTTTTAACAAAAATGATCCGTGGAAAATGTCATGAAGCCAATTCTGAGCTTATGTCTCTGCTTGGGATCCGTAAGAAAATGTGCATACAAGAGAAATCAAAGGAAATAATAATAATAATAATAATAATAATAATATTAAGAAGAAGAAGAAGAAGAAGAAGAAGAAGAAGAAGAAGAAGAAGAAGAAGAAGAAATTCTAGCAGACTCACTGAAGGGATTCCTGGTAGCAAAGAAATACAAAGTTTTTTTATTCACAGTCACAGCTCACGAAAGGCTCTGTCTATGTAAAATGTGTGCGTTTTTTTTTTTTTTTTTTTGTGTTAGTCAGGGTCTCAAAAATTGCTTAGTGGAAAATATCACAATGCAATTTCTGATCTTATGTCTTTGGTTGCGACCCGGAAAGAAATTAGTACACATCAGAAATCAAAGTACTACTACTACTACTACTACTACTACTACTACTACTACTACTACTACTAATAATAATAATAATAAACTCGATATAGTGTGAAGCATCTTAAAACAACAATGTTACCTGTTGTTCTTTGGTTTCTAGGAATTATATCAAAAGTAGCAAACAAATATCAGGAACAAATTCCCGGTAGTCCTAAAATATATGAATTACAAAAAAAAAAAAAAAAAAAAAAAAAAAAAAAACAAAAACAAAAAACAAAAACAAAAGACAAAACATGCTCATGAGGACTTCTCACATCTTGTGTATATTTCTTTACATGCATTGACCATAATTACATTTACCTTTCTCTGATTAGATGACACGTCATCTGTTTGTATCTTCTGGTAAAAAAAAGTATCTTACTGAGACATGGGTTCAAATCCTACTCCACTAATCAAAAGCATCACATAATAAAACTATCTGAGAGGAACACCTCAATGAAAATTATAAAATATATCATCTACGCCAAAGGGTTAAAACGAGTTAAATAGAAAGCTAAACAATTTGACATAAAAAAAAAACCTGGGAGGTCAAGGGGTTACATGGCTAATGCCTAAAAACAACGAAAGTGTTAGATGTGGACCAACCGAAAACACATCAGTTACTGAGGAGAACCGGGTTAAAAGTTGAGACGGAAGGCCTAATTATTGCAGCTCAGGACGAAAGCCTCGCAACCAGATCCTATCACTATCACATGATCAAGGGTGGAACTAACCCGAAATGCAGTACCTGCGGAAAATATAATGAACCCCAGGATGTCCGGAACTAGCAAAAAATGAATATAACCACATTTGAAGAAAAATATACAGAAAAAACAAACAAAAATCTTAATATGCAATTATGCTGTATTAATGTTAAAATAAAGTCAACGTTGGACGTTTCGGTCTATTTTAGACCATCATCAGGACATATTCATTAATCATAATTAACATTAGAACATATAAAATTCAACATGAAAAGACGATGGACATAAGAGCACAGCTAATCCAAACAGATAACTGAAATTTTTATATAAGATCAGCGTTCCGTTTAAATATGATCACGTCGTCGTCACGTAGGCGATGTTGTGAAAACGTATTCGAAGATGATTTCAAAATATCAAAACATTAAAAAAAGCTCGATTGAACTATTTTATATAAACAGTTCAAGAAATCCCTTCCGTTGATACAGGTATACGCAGAGATCAATAGGTTCTTATATCTTCATACAAGCTTGAAGTCCTCCACGTTACAAAGCAAATCAAAAATGATTTCAAAATATTAGACAGGCACGATGGAACAATTTTAAACAGTTCGTTAATAAATCCTTTCCTTACTTACAGGAATAGGCGGAGATCAATAGATTCTTATATTTTCGTACAAGCTTGAAGTCTTCCATGTTATAAAGTAAATTCAGGTTTGTATTTCCAGTAGACAGTATGTAAGCAAATATATGGATATAGATCCGACAGTATGAAGAAAAATATCCATATATTTGCTTACATAACCACATTTATAACATAGTAGTGACATGTGCACTGGAAGATATGCGAGAAGCACAAAATGGAAACCACCGAGAGATGGTATGAGACACAGTTACCCAAAATAACGATGTAACTATCCTCTGGGACATGCCAATTGAAACTGACAGGGAAATAATAGCCAACAGATCAGATATTATCATAAAGGCAAGAAATTCAAGAGGTGTATGCTTATTGACACAGCAGAACCATCTGAGATAAATACCTGCATAAAAATTATCGAGAATTTGTCCAAATACAAGGATCTAGAGATCGAGATTAAAAGGATGTGAGGAATGAAGACTGAGACTGTACCAATAGTAATCGGAGCACTGGGCCTCGTGAGAAAAGGAATGAATAATTTTATTAACATCGTCCCAGATAACATCAGCATAAAAGTTGCTCAGAAGATCGCCCCATTAAGAACAACCCAATATACTAAGAAAAGTGCTATCAATTAAATGACAATTCTCCTATAAGGCCTAAGAACCATAGTTTGGACCCAGCTCTACAGGATACAAAGCAGGAAACATAACATGCAATAATAATAATAATAATAATAATAATAATAATAATAATAAAAGCTATCAAAATACAAGGACCTTGAAATCGAAATCTCAAAAATGTTGCACATGAGAACATCAACAATCCCTGTTGTAGTTAGCGCCTCGGATTGGTTGGAAATGATTCCAGTAGATTCATTGAAGGGATTCCTGGAAGCCCATGCCTTAAAGAAATACAAAAACGTCTCTCGAGTACAGCCCACACCTTACGAAGGGCTTTATCTATGTAAAATATGTCTTCTTTTTTTTTTTAATTGGTCAGTGGAAAATGTCATGATGCCATTTCTGACCTTAGGTCACTGGGCGGAACCAGGATAAAATGTGTACACACCAAAAATGAGAGGAAATAATAATAATAATAATAATAATAATAATAATAATAATATGAAGAACGAGAAAGCAGAAGAAGAACGGTAAATTTAAAAGCCCAATATAACAAAATAATTCCAAGCCTGATGCAAATGTTTACACTTGTTCACCGCCCCCTTTTTTTACTTCGATGTTTGACCTTGCTGACCCAATCTTTGTAAACGTTTCAATGTTTTTTCTTTCTTTGCACAAATTAAAGAGCTCCCCACTCAAATTCTTTTCACCCGATTTCCATACACGGCAAGAGACCAATCACAATCGTTGAAGATTGGACATTAATCGAAGTGGCTCATTAAACACGAACGAGCACTTCAGTTGTACTGAGTCAAAGATCGATTGATTTTGAAAGACAAGTACCTCCCGATGCCTCTCCATGATTCGAAGCAAATGGTTCGATCGTAATTCTGAACCACAATTTTGGGGTTCACTACAAAAGCATTGATCTCTCTCTCTCTCTCTCTCTCATCTTCTCTCTCTCTTCGTGTGTCTGATTTCAAATCCATTTTATTTTCTCCATCCTTTGGCAAGATAAACATACGCTAGTTGCCTTCTTAGGATTTATTTTCTTTTCTTTTCAAATTATTTTTCTTTACTCTCCATCTTCTTCTCTCTCGAAAACATTTTTTATCACATACCTATTTTAAATTTCTTTCTCACTATCTTTCTTTCTCTCATCGTTCCACTCCCACCTCTTTTACAGCATTCATTCTCACTCTCTCTCTCTCTCTCTCTCTTTTTTTTTCTTTCTCTCTATTCACATCTCTTTGTGTCTTCCAGTGTTTTCTCTGTTCTCAATTCGTTGTGTCTTGCGGTGTTTTTCTCTCTCTCTCTCTATTCACTTGTCTTTTAGTCTTCTCATGTATTTCTCTCTATATATTCACATCTCTTTGTGTTTTCCCCATGACCTTCCCTCTCTCTATTCACATCTCTCTCAGTTTTCTCGTCTCTTTCTCTCTCTCTCTTTCTCTCTACATTTCTTTGTGTTTTTCTATCTTCCTCTCGTTATCTCTCTTTTTGTCACCCCATGTCTTAATCTCCCTTTCTCTCTTTTTCTCTCTCTATTCACATCTGTTTGTGACTTTCCTTGTCTTCCTCTCTCTCTCTCTCTCTCTCTCTCTCTCTCTCATTCTAATCACATCTCTTTTTGTCTCCCAATCTGTCATTCCCTCTCACTAACCGGATTTTCCTCTCCCTGTCTTTTAATCTCTCTACCCTCTCTCTCTCTCTCTCTCTCTCTCTCTCTAATAAGCTCTCTTCATTTCACTAACTCACTCTTTTATCTCTCCTCCTACTATTCTCTATCCTCTTCTCTCACTTCATCTCTTTTATGTGATGCAAACAACAATTTCTGTCTATGAAAAATCTATATATTTTAGCTTATGGCCACTTCGGCAAAGTGTAACAGTTAACAAGTTTATCTTGTTACATCAATTACGAATGAATAGTGAGTTAAATCCTCTCTGGGTTTTCCACACATTCGGCCTTGTGTCACATCTAAGCTAAGCTTAAAGATGATTAGGGCACTTCTACGTGATGCAATGGTTAGCAAGCTTTTCTTGCTAGATCAATTACAATTAAATAGTGAGTTCGAGCCTCACTGGGTGCCCACACTTTCAGCTACACTTATTAAATCACTATACATTTAGCGTATGAGATGTTTATGCAAATGTAAAGGAACCGAGGTCAGGCTGTGTATCTCCCGTTTCTTTGTTTTATTGCTTCCTTTTTGAACATTCCGGTCTGTATGAATTAATTCCCCGCCTTTTTCCGGCATAGACCCAGGCTTACCCCCCCCCTATTTAAATTTTCTTTATTTTACTGGAACATATTTCATATAAATTTGTCAATAAATTTCACTTTCAGTCACTCATTGCTGTATAGTGTTTTTGTCACTTACTTTTCTTCTTTTTATTCTTCTTTTTCCACTTTTAATGATTCGTCTTTGCCTTTTGCTCTTTCTTCTTTTCATTTTTCTCTTTCTTGACTCTGATTCCTATTCTTTATCGCTTTCTTTCTTTCTTTCTTTGTTATTCATTTGTATTTTATTTTATTTTTCTCTCACCCTCTATACTTCTTCTTCTTCTTCTTCTTCTTCTTCTTCTTCTTCTTCGTCGTCGTCGTCGACGTCCTCCCCCTCCTGCTTCTTCTTCTCCCCCTTCTCTCCCTCCTCTTTTACCTTCTCCTCCTTCTTCTTCTTCTTCTTCTTCTTCGTCGTCGTTGTCGCCGTCCTCCTGCTTCTTCTCCTCCCCCTTCTCTTCCTCCTCCTTTACCACCTTCTTCTTCTTCTTCTTCGTCGTCGTCGTCGTCCTCCTGCTTCTTCTCCTCCCCCTTCTCTTCCTCCTCCTTTTTACCACCTTCTTCTTCTTCTTCTTCTTCTTCTTCGTCGTCCTCCTGCTTCTTCTCCTCCCCTTCTCTTCCTCCTCCTTTACACTTCTTCTTCTTCTTCTTCTTCTTCTTCTTCGTCGTCGTCCTCCTGCTTCTTCTCCTCCCCTTTCTCTTCCTCCTCCTTTACCACCTTCTTCTTCTTCTTCGTCGTCGTCCTCCTGCTTCTTCTCCTCCCCTTCTTCCTCCTCCTCCTTTACCTTCTTCTTCTTCTTCTTCTTCTTCGTCGTCGTCCTCCTGCTTCTTCTCCTCCCCCTTCTCTTCCTCCTCCTTTACCACCTTCTTCTTCTTCTTCTTCTTCTTCTTCTTCTTCTTCTTCGTCGTCCTCCTGCTTCTTCTCCTCCCCTTTCTCTTCCTCCTCCTTTACCACCTTCTTCTTCTTCTTCTTCTTCGTCGTCGTCCTCCTGCTTCTTCTCCTCCCCCTTCTCTTCCTCCTCCTTTACCACCTTCTTCTTCTTCTTCTTCTTCGTCGTCCTTCTTCTTTCTTTCCTCCTCTTCTTCTTCTTCTTCTTCTTCTTCTTCTTCTTCTTCGTCGTCGTCCTCCTGCTTCTTCTCCTCCCCCTTCTCTTCCTCCTCCTTTACCACCTTCTTCTTCTTCTTCGTCCTCCTCTTTCTCGGCCTCTTTCTTGTTCTTCTTCTAATTACCCCTACATGTGGTCTGTTTTAATTTCCCTTCATATTTCCTCCATTTCTTCCTCTATTTCTTACTGATAGTTGTAGGTTTCTTTCTTTCATTCATTATTTTTTCTTTCTTTCTTTCTTTCTTTCTTTCTTTCTTTCTTTCTTTTTTTCTCTTTTTTTTTTTTTCATATATTCACCCACTCTTTCATTATTTCTTTCTACTACGAATTTTCTTTCTTTCATTCTTTCTTTTTTCTTCCTATTGTTTTTTTTTTATACTTTTTGTTTTTTCGGCCATAGATTTTGCCTTCTGTCTTTTTTTTCATCCATTCGATCATTCTTTCTTCCATGCATAATATTTTTTTATCTATTCTGCCTTTCTTTCTTTCATATATTTAGTCTTCTTTTTCTTTCACTTATTCATTCCTTCTTTCTCTCTTTCTCCATGTTTCTTTTTTTTTTTTTTTTTTTTGATTTATGAAAAAGTAATCGAATCTGTTTCTGAATAACCGTCAGAAACACCCACACATCTTTATATGCGCACTTATTAATGGTTATGTATGTATATGTAGACCCCTTCCCCCTTTCTCTCACTCCCTCTCCCTCTCTCTCACAGATATATATATATATATATATATATATATATATATTTATATATTTAAAATTCTAATTTTCTGTTTATATATTGAAAATTCACAATTATATATTCAAAATATATATTTATCGATTTACATAAATTCAAAAATATATATATATATATATTTATATATATATATATATATATATATATATATATATATATATATAATGTGTGTGTGCAGTGGTTATAAATATTATCCAGTGCATAAAATTGTAAGTTATAATCAAATTCTCAGATTCACGCATAAATAATTCCTCTCCAATTCATGTGTCATAACGCAAGCACGCATGCGCATATGCGGTCTTTCACTGACTTCCTGTATGATTTCTGAATTTATTACACGTCAATGAATTTAGTGAAAATTTTGAGACACACAGACATTCCACGCAGCTTTTGACTTTCTACGTCTTTTCAAACAGTCAAATATAACTACCTGGAAGGTATGACTCTCTCAAGCTATGGGTTAAATAGGAAATTAGACTGGATTACCGTGTATCGAAAGGGCGAGAAGGAAAAGAACAATCTTGAATTTAAAACCAGACAGAAGATGAATCAGTTCTGTCAGACTCTATTCACTTACATTCATTATCTCTCTATCTATCCATATATATATATATATATATATATATATATATATATATATATATATATATATATATATATATATATTCTGTGTATTTAGGTAACATTTTTCATTCATACATGTTTCATTAAATAATAAAGCCAAGTGTTGTCGATTTATTTTATGTAAGTTCTTTTCATAACGTCTGATAAGCTTAATAACATTATCGTTAAACGAAGAAAGAAAATCATAATATTGATACATATTTTTTAATCCAATCTAAGCTTTCAGCTTACATAAGCCATTATCAAAGATGACAATTACTGTACAATATATTAAGCAATACACGGACAACACAATGATGATAGTCTGTTTCTGTTTACATGGATGACGTGATGGTGTCTCCATGGCTTCAGTATTGGGTCCGACATTTAGCAATTTCTACATGTCGAACCTCTAAAATAAGATATTTATACATTTTAAAAAAACATCGATCTACCTAAGATACGTTGATGATATTCTTATGTTAGTTAAAAATACAGATGAAATACTTCAACTTCAAAAACGTTTCCAAAATAATTCTGTCCTTAAATTCACATATGTACTCAATACTAATAATAAAATCCCATTCCTTGAAATATTGATAAACACAAATAATAACAAATTTACTATTTCGCCATACAAAAAACCTACAAGCATAAATTCATGTACACTTAACTAAAAGAGCGAATGCCCATATTACTACAACATAGCAATTATAAAGAATCTAATACATCGTTCAGAAACTAATTTATCCACAAAACAGATTTTTTACAGTGAACTAAAGAATATAAAACAAACACTTATTAATAATATTTTTCCAAACTATATAGTTAATGAACGAATAAGATGCGTTCTTAGAAATCTCAATACTAAGCAAATAGTACATAATAATGTTTCTACTAATCTCAAAAATATTAATCTCCTATATCGTAATCAAATGCATACTAATTATAAACAAGATGAAAATATACTAAAAAAAATTAGTAAATACTAATATATCAACTACAGACCCTAGTAAAAAATTAGGTTGATCATATAATACACTAAATCTAGTATATCCAACCAAATTATTCGCAATGATTCTTCTCCCCCGGTTAGCGATTTGCAAAAAACCAACATAGTTTACAAAGTCAAGTGCACTTTGGGAGATTGTATCTCCAACGAATTAAGTAATATTTATGTTGGTCACACCACAAACTCACTTTCACGACGCTTGACACTACATTTGAATGAAAACTCTAACATTTTTAGGCATCTAAAAAAACATGCCTGTTCGCACACACAACTCCGTAAAATCCTTGTCGAAAACACAATTATACTTAAACATGAAAACAATAAACAAAAACTAAAAATTCTGGAAGCTATATACATAAAACAGTTGAAACTTAACCTAAACAAAATAAACTATGAAATCTCCACAAATATCCTTAAATGTCTACAATTGGTAACCGAAGCCATTGGTTTATACCAACGGCTTCCCATTCTTAATATTTCTCGAATTCACTCTCACGTGGTCATGTGTGACGTCATGAGCTGCGGTGCGATTTTCGCTTCCAGCGTCTTATATGCACCTGTTTATCGTTGCTTGGAAATCATACATGTAAACAGAAACAGACTATCATCATTGTGTTGTCCATTCATTGCTTAATATGTTGTACAGTAATTGTCATCTTTGATAATGGCTTATGTAAGCCGAAAACTTAGATTGGATTTAAAAATATGTATCAATATTGTGATTTTCTTTCTTCGTTTAATGATAACGTTATTAAGCTTATCAGACGTTATGAAATGAATTTACATAAAATAAATAAACACTAGTCTATATTATTTAATGAAACATGTATTAATATATATATATATATATATATATATATATATATATATATATATATATATATATATCCGTTCGTCATTTTTGCACAGTATTATTCACATCTATTTGAATTTCACCATATAAACATTTTTATTTATTTCTCAGTCTGTAAATATGTTTATGTCAGTCTTTTTACATCTCTCTCTCTTTCTCTTTCTCGCTCTCTCTCATTCTCTCTCTCTCTCTATATATATATATACACACACACACACACACATATATATTCCTGTTTACATCT